ATAGAACGTGGTCATTGAAAGGCGAAACCGCTCCTTGTGCGAAGCTGCGAGAACTATGCTTTCTTTCACGAATTTTCCTCTCTATTTCTAGGTGAACGCGATCGCAACTGCATTCTTCACCCAAAACATTTATATTCTCAATAAAGTGATTTTCCATCACTCCTTATGAAATAATAAATAGAATCAAGGCTAACGTTAATTTTTTCCATGTATTTGGTTCCATGTGTTTTATCTTCAACTCAAAGGAACAACGAAACAAATTCGATGCGAAAGCTGAAGAAGGAATATTCTTGGGATATTCGCTGACCTCCCAGACATATCAGGTTCTCAACAAATGATCTAAAAAGATAGAAGAAACCTACTATGTCACGTTTGACGACAATTACTCAAAGAGGACTTAGACGAACGATAGTCCATTGAAGGAAATCTTTCCTAAACGAAGTCTAGCTATGATTTCACTCTCTACTCTTTCCGAGAAATTCATGCTACTATTTGATGAGCCAGAGAAGGCTATATTATCTGAATCAAAAGCATCTAACAACAAGGTCAATGACACGAAGAGCCACCAAGTGCGAATGACCCACATGACACGAACACTACATTCCAGGGGGATTGTTCTGAATCAACTTCCAATGCAACTTTTCAAGGGGAGCAATCTACTCCACAAGAGACCCACGAAAGTCCATTCCAGGGGGAGAATTCGACACCCAAAGAAGAGACATTCACATCATTCGAGGGGGAGAAAGATAATACGGATGATGATTCAGATATACAGTCAGAATTTAAGGACATAAATGCTGAATTGGATCCCTCTTATGATCCTAATTAATCTCCTCTGACTAAATGGACTAGAGATCATCCAAAACCACAGGTTATAGGCAAATTGTCTTCAGGAGTTCTTACAAGAGCACAACAAAAGGTGAAGCGAACTGCTTTATTCTCCAAAGTAGAATATTGCATGTTCATATCGTTCATCACCAAAGTCAAACCCAAAAATGTTTAGATTGCTCTATACCATTCGGATTAGGTACAAGCGATGCAGTAGGAGCTCAATGAATTCGAATGAAACAATGTCTGAAGACTGATTCCTACTCCAAAGGATGCATCTATTGTAAGGTTAAAGTGGGTGTTTCGCAACAAGATTTATAAGGAGGGAAATGTTATACGAAACAAAGTGCGGCTACTTGTAAAGGGGTATTGTCAAGAAGAAGGCATTGACAATGGAGAGACCTTCGCACCTGTAGCTAGGCTAGAATCCATTCACATCTTTCTGGCTTATGCGACACATAGGAATATTGAAGTTTATCAAATGGATGTCAAGTGTGCCTTTTTGAATGGGGAGCTAGAAGAGACAGTTTATGTGTGGCAACCACCAAACTTTATAAACGAGAAGTATCCCAACAACTGCTATATTATGGACAAAGCAGTCTATAGTTTAAAGCAAGCTCCAAGAGCCTGGTATGAAACCCTTACTCATTTTTTGAAACAGGCTAAGCTTAAACAAGGTTCGGTCGACCCAACCTTCTTCGCAAGAAAGATGATGACCACTTCATGATCGTCCAAATTTATGTTAATGACATCATCTTCGGATCTACTAACCCATCTTAACAGCTGAATTCCAAAAGTTGATGGAAACTAAATTTGAGATAAGCTTCATGGGTCCGATTAACTTTTTCCTTGGTTGAACATAAGACATATTCAAGAAGGTATCTTTATCAATAATGTGGCCTACACAAAGACCTTGCTCGCTAAGTTTGGAATGGTGGGTGACTCAAAAACAAAGGTTCCAATGGAATTCAGAATGAAACTAAATTATTCTCTAGAAAAACTAGTTGTTGATATGACCCTTTATCGTCAGATGATATGATCATTGATGTATTTAATTGCTAGTCGACCAGCCATTATGTTTTCCATTTGTTATTATGCTAGGTTCCAAGCGAATCCTCATGAACCCCACATGGTAGCTGTCAAGAACATTTTCAGGTATTTAACACGAACCTCCTTACTAGGCATATGGTATCCATCAAGCTCAAGTTTCTTTGTACAAGCATTTTCGGATGCTGATCTGGGAGGGTGCGGCCTGGATAGAAAGAGTACAACGGGAGGATGCCAATTTTTGGATACCAAGCTCGTAAGTTGGTAGTCGAAAAAAGAAATCTTGCGTATCCCATTCCACTGTTGAAGCAGAGTACATAGCTGCAGCCTCATGCAGTTCACAAGTCATTTGGAGTCAAAGCCAACTTCGTGACTATGTCATTAACATTAAGAAAATCCCCTTATATTGCAACTCTGTCAGTGCCATTTGCATTTGTTATAACCCTGTGCAACACTCAAAGACAAAACACATTGCACCGAGGTATCATTTCATAAAAGATCACGTGGAAGATGGTAATGCTGAGATACATTTGTAGAAATGTTTAATCGAGTATGAGAATCAAATCAGAGTAAAACAGAGTAAATATTGAACACAAGAAGTAAATAAGATCTGGGTTTTAGCTCATATTACTTCCAATGAACACGAGTACATGAATGATAGAAAAATAGGGAAAAACTCTATCATCTACTCTATGTTCAGCTCCTATTTACAGGAGTCTGAAAGTACAAACAATACTAAGGCTAGACATTCAGCTTCGTTAAACGGATGCCTTAGTAAATACATAAGGAAACATACGAAACAGATAATTACATAGACTTCGACATATTACAAGACATTTCGAATCTACAACATTTTGTAAGATCCGTTGATTAGTTGGCAGACATCTTCACGAAAGCCATGCTGGAACCTACCATTAATCGTATTCTTAAGGCTTGGGAATGATAGAAGCAAAGTCGGTTGCAAAACCACTTTCGCTTTCATAGTGACACTTTCGTTTTTGGTTATACTTTCACACTCGCAGCCTACAGGATGTCATGCAAATTGATGTGAACGCTCGCAGTAATTCGCAGTCATCTTTTGTTTCGCGAATCGGTGCGAACGATCGCAGTAATTCGAAACCCTTTTTTATCCTGGGACTTCATACGAAAGCTCTACATATCTCATGATCAACTGTTGATTCGTGGTTTGGAGCGTTCTATATCATTTTGTGCATTATGTATATTTTTTTATTTTATTTATTTCATTTTATTTTCCATTCGAAATTACAAAAATATGTAATGGTATTGTTTTAATTTAATTTAATTTTTTATCTTAATTTAATTTTATTTATTTATTTTCAGAATATAAAATACAAAAAACAATTTACTTCTTTTTGTTTTTATTTATTTTTCAGAAAAACTCAAAATTCAAAAAAAAAAAAAAATGCATGTTCATATTTCTTTCATTAGATATTTGTGCAGATTTGAAGGCAAAATTTTTACTTTTCAATCAAGAATGATGGGGAAGGTATAAATTTCTTTATCTATGAACTAACTAAGTGTCCCAAGAAGCATACTGTTGCATGTTGTTTGAAGCCTCCTAGACTCTATGTGAAGCCTTCATGAATCAATAATACCAATCGTTTCTTCCCAATTAGGCTGCAAATTCACATAAGTCATGAGTTACCTCACCCTTCTCACATTAAGAAAAGAGTTAACTGCTTGGTCACTCTCGCATAGCATGGGTACACTATCTTGTTTGGAACCACCTTATACTTTTCTCAACTACTTTCGCATTCACTAATGTAACCCTCGAGACTCTCACATTTCACCACTAAGGGTTTATGGTTATACAATTTCTGTGTTCATGATCTTCAATTCATTATCACCACGAATTGAGTGAAACCCAAAATCCAACACACTTATACGAATTGGCGATGAATAATATACATGTTTTGGACTACTCGCCAAGGAATTAATGAAACTTCACTTTTCATGGTCTGTACCAAGAAATCTCTTTTTTTTAGAGATCTTAATGAAATGCTCTAGGTCTAAGACGTTTCTTCCCAATAGATCCAATTTTATTTCTTTTTTAGATTTCAAAGCAGACCATTGTCACTTAAAATAATTCCAAAGCTTACTTGTTCAACTGACTACACTGGTCAAACAAGTACTCCAATTAAAACTTTTAGACTTATATCAAGTTTCATAGATTCGTTGGAGATAGAACCACCCAATAAAACAGGTGATCGTAATTCAACAGGAAACCACACATGCACTTCTTAGTCTCTCTTAACTTCGAAGGAAGAGATCTTTTCCCGGGATCCACTGTTTAGTGTCTTAGGCAAAACATCAATAAAATCCCACACAAATGTATTGCTTTATTTCTTTATCATTGACAGAATCTTGCACGAAGATCCTTGCGATTTTCTAAAAATCTGGTTCGTGGAACTCACATTTATTTTCAGTTTCCCAATTCAACTCAAGATTACTTAGAAGTGAACATTCATATCAACATGCGAAAGGCAATACGTTACTTTACTGTGAATGGAAGAAATTGAAGCGGCAATTCTAATGGATAAGATTTCAAATGGGTGCATGAAAAATTGAACATACGCCTGGTTTTCCGCCGCCTGACATCTTTTTCTAACGCAACAGTTTTCACATCGCGTCTTTTCAGGCGACGTTTTAGTAACCGGTACACCATACATCCAAATTTCTCTCTCCAATCAAATCGTATAAAAGATTTTTGGTGACTCAACACTTATTATCCCTTTCAAAAATCCTCACATAATTCCGGTGATTAAACCTCTCTACTGTTCATCTTATTCTCTAAGAAATCAATAATCGTAGGTTCAAGATCATTCTACACAATCAACGCTTCTTGCTATCAAGCCCAATCAAAACTTGATTTTGGATCTTGATCTTGGCAAATATGACAGCTACACAATCAACGCATCTTGCTATTGGCAAATATGACCATCATGTATGGGATCTACACGGGGGTCAACATTGATTTTGGGGCTGTTCTTTGGGCTCAGTTACTCCAAAGTACCCATTCTACAAATCGACATAGTGAAATTTCCTATGCACGATTTTGGACAATCGTTGTCCAATGCACAATTGAGATGCTTTAAATTCCGGTGATGCAAGATTCATTTATGTATGCTATCTTAATCTTTCACACTACGAATTTCATCATTGCTGACAACTGCAAGTTGTCGTTCGTTGGTTTCATTCTTGAAGCCATATTTCGGGCAGTTCCTACTGCGAGCAAGATTCTTGAGGCTTACAGGAAACCTCCAATTTCAGGCTTTTGCCCTTTAACTGATGAGATGCGAGCAATATTGGAAGAGGCTGATAAGCCTAAGAAAGAGGAAAGAAGAAAGATGCGAAAGAAGGTACTTCAACAATAGTTGTAACCCCCAAGAAATGAAAGACACAAGTTGGATCATCTGCACCAGCTCCTCCTCCAACCAAGAAGCAAAAAATGAAGAAGGCAACTCGCAAGCCCAGATCTCCAACTCCCAGTGAAAGCGAACGTTCGCAGTCTAACACTCAGTTAGACATTCTCATTGAAGTGGATGAGCCTATCCAAACTCAAGAAACTGCTGCAACTTTAAATCCTGAGGTTTTGCAGCCTATTTATACAAATCGAGAGGTAACCTTTCAGATTCCTGTCTCAGTTCCTATTGCTGATGACTTCTTTGATAATTTCTCTATTCCCTATCCTATTGCTACTATTTCAACACCAATTTCCATTGCCCCATGCCTACCTGTCTCATTAGGTGTTTCGCAACCCCCACCTATTTTCACCGATTCTACCACCACACTAACAACAACTGTTGAGCCTCCTGTTTCTCTCAATGCATATGATGTGGGGGCAGGAGCTTCATGTTTAGATATTGGTCATTCCACACCGCCATTTCCTCTCTTCTCCAAAATGTCCCATATATGATTTTCGGTGATGATGACAACTTCGCAGGATTCACCTACAGTCAATTCAACATTAGGACTGAAAGTGATGACGAAGCTCCCATCACGAGAGGTCAACTCATGGAAATACATGAAAAACTAAAAAGACATCATCCATAGATGATTATTCTGAAGCAACAGTCAAGTGCATTCTTGAGACCCATACAAAAGAGCACTCTGCTAACCTTGACAAGATGAAAAAGGCGGTTGATGCTTCTCCTATAGTCTACAACAACACGACCGAAAAAGTTGATAAACTAATTAATGATGCACAAGTATTCATGGAGAACTTCCAAAGTTCCTTTGAGTCCAGCACTGTGAAGGCTAATGAAGTCATTTCTAGCCTGGGCCCAACACTGAAAACTGAGAAGGTGAAACTTCAAGAGGTTCACACTGGTCTTAAATCTGAACATGACGAGTTCCAGTCATCCATCTCCTCGCAAATCACTAAGCTTTAAAATGATCTAGCTATGGAGACAAAAATAATGGATGCTATTTCCGTCAAGATTGAAAAGGTGAAAGTCTTGACAGTCAAAATTAAAAATGTTGAAAAACAAGTCAATGATTTGTTATCTTAGAAAGTTGTAATGAAAATCTATATCGCAGATGTTACTGGCATGGTTTTGGATATAATTGAGACTCGTGACTCAATGATCACGATTACGGTAAAGAAGCATCTTGCTGAGAAACTAGGGCCCATCTTCGCCATGCTACATCGACTGGAAGGTGTTCCGAAATCTAGCTCCATTCCGAACAAGGGGGAGAAGGTGTGTCACAATCCAAGAAGGAAGACCCCAAATCTTCAGTCAAGCACACTATCAAAAGAAAATTTGAGCCTAAAGGAAAAGAAAAACTTTTCAGTGAAGAACCCATTGCTGACAACAGCGAAGACGAAGAGCTTGATGAAAACGAGCTCAAAAGAAGAAAGTCACGAGAGGCTGAAATGGATGAACATCAAAGAATAATCCGAGAGGCTAAAGCGAATGAGAAAGCATAACGTGAAGCTCAGGTCATTTTGGAAGGCGAAAGCTTTTATTTCCATATTCGACCGTGAAGCGAATTCAAAACGAAGTTGTGGATATGCCGATTCAATATTGGCTAGCACCAGTTGTGTCATTCGAGCTTCAGAATACACAGATTCGCGGCTAGATCTACCAATAACTCTGAAATCCTTCAAGTTTCATTCTTTTGTGAAAGTATCTACTGTCCCTTCCACTGATAGTAATGCCGATCAATTTCTCTTCTCGTTCTATCTCAAGCATATGAATCTACAATATGAAACGTGGGGTGCTAGCAAGATTACTGCAGTGAAGGTCACGGGTCCAATTGAAACCGAAAGTTCCCCTAATGCAATGTTCAAGGTTGTGAGAGGTTCTGCTAGTCAGGTTCATGAATTCACTCTCGCAGACCTTCCTTGCCTCAATCCCTATGACTGGATCATGCTTTACAATTTACTTCTAAGAGATGGACAGAAGTATGAGGCCATTATTGCTCACCTCAAATTGATGATAGTTTCGTATGTTCAAGAGGTAGGAAAAATGGATGTGGAAATTGTTGGCTTACTACGAAGGAAGCTATCTGTTCTCCCCAAAGAAGCCCTAGAAGGTTTTGATAAGTTGAAGTCTGGGAAAATATACAAGGAAGGATGGTATGTGGTCTTTCAGGCATGAGAACGAACTGATGCAAACTTTCACAAGGTCTGTTTCTTCCTCTCTGATAAACAACTGTACACTACCTCTTGTCTAGAGTATATTTTGGACATGGTCAATAAATTTAAGTGCAATAGCAAGGGAGACAATAATTCCTTTTCGGATATGATTCAATGGTACATCCAGGTTTGCAAGATTCTGATGAGCATTATTCTGAAAGTTTTTGAAGTGCAGAAGTGAACCCAAGCTTGATGGACTCTCTCCTCAATTGACGCAAAGGGGGGAGATTGTTGGGAATTAGTGTTGTATCATTGTATTTTACTATATATTCCATTTATATAAAAGGGCTTGGGCTTGTCCACCCGTCTTTAATTTTTATGGTTATAGTATTTAAGGTGAATGCATGCACCGTGTTTTAGTAATCTTGGAAATAGCTTGTAACCCTACACGCCTCTACAGTAGCAATTCTTCATCGAGTTCTTCTGGGGTATGATTTTGAATCATTAAGCATACTTTGATCAATTATTATGTTCTTATTTTCTCTTACCTGTTTGAATCTTTCGATCTTTAGAGATTTAATCTCATCATGAGCATTAAGTGCTCACGACGAGATAAGTGCCTGATGCTCCAAAACCCTTATTTTCGGGTATTTAAAGGTATGAGATGATTTAGGTCGCTTCTCCTCAGCCTCTTTCACTCCCAAGACCTCATGAAACGATAATCTCAGCCCCTATTGATGTCCTTGATCATTCTTGGTGTTATTCATTAGTTTTTGGGGTCTTTGAAGATCATTGAGGAAGAAGAAGAGCATGTGGTGCATTTGTTGGCATTTTGGCTTCATCATCAGCTAGTTGTAGAGCTTTTGGACCTTTGTAAGTCCTCAAACTCATTCCTTTCCTTTCCTTGCTTACTAGATATAAGTTTCCGTGCAATTTATGGCTTGTAATGTTGGCTAGCATGCATGGGATCCATAAAGTTGGCAACTTTATGGATCATGATGGTATTTTAAGTCTTATATATCTGGATTTTGGTCATGGTTTTGGACTCCAAGTTTGAGTCTTGGACCTTTTTCCTTCAATTTGACCGAAGTTGGTGTTAAGTCGTCTATTGGACATATGTGACTGAAAAGCTTTGATTTTTATGGTCCTTGGGGTCAAGGAAGACCCTCTAGACTGTCCCATGTTAAAGCATAACATATTAGGAGCTTAATGTTCATTTTTGGTCAGATCTGGACTCACAACATGAAGAATGAAGTTGCACGACGTGAGAGCGTGTTAATGGAAGTTTCTGGGCCACAGTCACGACCTCACGACGTGAGCATAAGGTGCTCATGATGTGAGAATCACCTGTGCCAGTTTTGGGTTCTTTGATTGTTGGCTAGCTTGGTATTGGACTTATCCTATGGAGTTGGACCTTTGGGCTATTAGAAAATCATTGGTTCAGAAAAGTAAATGGGCTTTAGGCAAAAGGACCATGTAAGGATTTGTCCCCAATTTGGAAAATTGGGGCATTGCAGGGTTTTAATGGATTTGACAGTTTTGGGTCTTGGTTGTGAATCTTGTTGGGCCAAGGGTGAAACGGTCATTTAACCCTATGTATGGATTATGGATCATGGTTTGGGACCCAATTATTAATTTGGTGATATTTTGGTATTGATAGCTCGAGTAGTTACCATGACAGTATCTAAGGATTTCTTATAGTGGACTTCAGCAGTGTAAGGTGAGTTACCTTCCCGGTAGTAGTGGGTCGAAGACACCGCTGTCGGCCCACTAGTAGTTGTTTGTAGTGGAGATGTTTGTCTTTGTGATAATTTTCTGGTATGCCACTATCTATTGTGATTATGTGCTTATGTGTTAGGATATTATGTTGTCACAACTAGAAATTTTGTGCCTTGTAACTACATCACTTAAGTAAAAATTTTGAATCAAAAACTTAAGAGCAGGTAAGATGCTTACTTTATGACAGCAAAATTTCAATCAAATACACCATACAAGCATTACAAATAGTCAAAAAGTAATTGGAAACCCTAGAAGTTCTTGTTTAGGTCCATTTTGGACTAGGACTTCCTTATTGGGCCCAATGGACCAATAAGCTTCCAATTTGACTATCTTGGGCTTAGAATCCTTAAATGGGCTCTAATTGGACCCACTTCCATCTATTTCAACATTTTGGGCCATATTGGGCCTAGAATGAAATAAATTAAATATTATGAACCATTATGGACCATAATTAACCTAAACTAGCCTATTAAAGTATAAAAATCACACTTATATTTTATAGGGCCAACAATCATTCAACCTAACTCTAATATGGGCTTAGGGGCAATAAAGCCCAAAAAGCTCCTTTTTCCTCTCCAAATCTCGGCCCAAGCCCAAACCCAAGGGATGAAGAGTTGACTTGTGAGATTGTCACCTCATTTATACATCGCATACCTCCATGCATGGACCAACATGCATCTAGGTTAGTCATCTCAACTCTCTCTCTCTTCTTCTTCTTGATTCTCGGCCGAGAGCTCCCAAACACACACACTTCATCCACTTTTTGTGTAGCAAACTCTTTCAAGGAACACCCTCACCTTTCTTCATCAAATTTTCGAGACTTAAGAGCTTTTCAAAGAGATTTTCCACAAGAATCATCATCTAAGGTAAGTTTATACTTCAATCTATGATCTAGGTTCCTTGTTATATCAAACATCTCATCTTAACTCATGTAAATTTATGGTCTAACTCCCTAGAACCATCTAAGTTCGAAAACCTCCTCAAGAAGTTGCTAGAGCCGAAAACAACATCAAACTTCTTCCAAACTCCTCCAAAACCGAAACCCAACTCAAGGTGAGCTTCATACCTCCTATTTTTCGGTTTTATAAGTTTTGTGGGGGGGGGGGGGAATACAAGCAAATGTGTAGATCTATGTGTATATGTATGCTTTGTGTGATTTCTATGTTTATATTTATGTTCTTATGTGATTGTGGTGTTGGATCTAGTCAAAAAGTCCTTAAAACCGAGATTTACATTAGGTTGTATGAAATTAGTATAAATGATATTATTACATACAAATCATTTCTAGAAAAATAACCAAGTGGTTAATATGAACTTCTTTGGACTAAAAACCCATTTTTGGACTCAAAATGTTAAAAATATAAAATTAAAGGGCCCAAAATGACAAAATATGAATTCTGATGGTTGAGATGGGACAAAACAGTTTCAACAAAGTATTTTCTGGAAATATACTCTTTTGAAGGATTAAAATGTAAAATTTTAAGCATAATGGGCCAAAAATGAACTTTTCGGCCCAATAAAGCCCAAATTGCGAGATTTTCAAATTTGAGGGGCTGAAACTATATTTTTCTGTAAAACAGGGGACTACTAGTGCTCCAAGTCCATTTCAAAGGTCAAAAATTCTTTTCATATATAAAAAGGACCAAAGATGCAAAATTTTCTATTGTGGGCCAAAAGTGTAAAAATTGCAAAAAATGAGGTTTCAGCCGAGAAAACTTCATTTTGAGGGACTAAAACTGTTTTTCAAATAAATTTGAGCTGAAAAATACCTTTTCAACAAGTTTTGATACTAAAGTGTCAAGAAAAATGGTTTAAGGACTAAAATGGAAATTCTATTATACAAAGGGCCAATATTGTAATTTATCCAAAAGAAAGGGGTTGCAAAAAGAAAAATTCTAGTGTTTTTAAACAATAAATATGTTATGATAAAATACTAGTACCACGACTACCGGCGAAATATAATACACCTTCAACACCAAAATCGTTATCAAACGAACTGATTCGGTCTCGAATCAACAACGAATCCGAAATTAATAACACGACGATACTTCAATACACACGCGGAAAATTTTGGGAAGTCAATACATACGTGGGAATACACCAGACGTCGATACACCATCTTTGGGCCCGAAAGTTTCAAATCGTGCTTGTTGGGCCTAGCTAGCCCAATGACATGATCTTTAGGCCCGAAGGAAACTCGCTTACATGTTGTTGGGTCTTATATGACCTAATTCTGTGTAAAAGGACTTTCAATGGCTTTTGTGTTGCTGGGCCCCAAGGGTCCTTTGGTATTGCTAGTAAAGTCGAGAATTCACAAATGCAAGTCGGGCCAAGGGACCTTCGCATTCACGATAGCCTTGAACGACTTATGGAAATATCAGGGGCTTCGCACTCTCTTTTCTCCTCGGTTGTGGGGCTATGAGAAGTCAGGGTGGTTGGATTAAGTGAATAGTATGGACGACGCCTAAGGGATCGTTTGTATAGTTGTAAACTAGTCGTTTTCATTAATGCGTGTTTATAACAAATTCACAACCCATAATTAATCTGATGTCACCTGGAATTATCGAATACACACGTCGCAACGGTATGATAGCCATATAAAATGCGTAATTCAAAGTATTAGGAAAACATCGGTTTTCCTAGGGTTTTCAATTCATACACCTACGAGATGCATACCAAGTATAACAATTCTTTTTACATTTATAGAAACAAACAAGCATACTTACGGATCTTCACACTTTTTATACAATACCCTTTTCAGAAAATATCGGATTTTCTGGTGGTTTTCAAAACAATACAAAACATTATATTTCCAACATTACTTATGAACTCACCAACATTTCATATGTTGACGTTTTTCAAAATGCTTGTATTATCATGTAACAGGTAAATCGAAGGGAAAAATGTACTCAATGATATCTTGTTGTTTGTTTAACTAGTATCGAACAATCTACTTTTTGGGAATGTAATGTTTTGAAACAATGTACTAAATGTAACCACTACCAGTTGTACTATTCCAATGCATGGTGATGAATGATGTTATGTTTCATGTATATTCACTGTGATGGTATTCAATTAAGTCACAACAGCCCTCAGACGTTTCCGCCGCCTGGTTCGGGGGTGTGACATATGTGGTAGTGGTAGGGGCTGAAATAGACTGAAGGGGAGGCCAACACCCATATATGCTTGACAGAATCCGGTTGAAATAGACCGAAGGGGAGGCCAGCACCCATATATGCTTGG